AGCGAAGCCTGTTACTCCAGTGGGGTTGAAAAGTTTTTCCTGTCTGTCTGTCTGTCTGTCTGTCTGTGTGTGTGTGTGTCTGTCCGCACTACTCCTCCTGAACGGCTCGGCCGATCTTGGTGAGATTTTGCACACTCTTTAGGCATGTCCTAGGCTCGGCACACGCGAAATCTCACCTTCGTAGCTCAACTGGTTCAGTTTTTATAGCCGAAAAACACATAAAAAACGGCGAAAAATCGAGTTTTCTGCAGGCAGGATGCCTTCTGTCCTGAAAAAGGGGGGGGTCTGGGGGGCCGAGCCCCCCAGCCTCGTTAAGTTCAAAGGTTACAAGGGTCAAGATCATGCTATCTGTAGATAAGGCAACTCTACCTAGAAGGAAGGGGGGTCTGGGGGCGGAGCCCCCCAGCATGCAACAAGTTAGAAGTGACCGACGATGGACAAGCCATTGCCTGCCGAAGGCAGGCTAGCGCCGTAGGCCAAGGTAGGTACGCCAGGCGCGGATTGGAGGAACAGGCAGCGAAACATCGCGAAGCCTGTTACGACAAGACGCGGTCTGGCGTAAACCTACCTTGTTTACATTCGTTTTAAAACAAAGAGAATAAAAAGCGCAATTGGTCCGTGTCTGACAGGTTAATTTACACGATACTGCGTGCGGCGGGCACGGTGTGGGGGCCGTCGCGTCGATGAAGCCTCGCAACGGAATCTTTACTTTTTTTGTCTTCTCTTTCCTCCCCGTGCCCACTCTCACTGTCCAGATGGCTGTTTCATTGAACCGCGGGTCCGGCCTCGGCCGCTGCTGCTGCTTGGTAACAGCTAGAGCTGTCTGCTTCATTGTTGTTATTGTTGTTGTTTTCAACTGCGCGATACAATGCCCATATTACTAGCGTTTGGTGGCTCTGTCTCTCTCACTCGTGTACGGGACGCGCCACAGTGCGAGAGGGACGGCAGCCTAACGAAGGCGAACCCGTCACTGGAATCGGCCAGGAGTCGGCCATGAATGATTCATGGTGCATCGCAGAAACCTGGAACGACACGAGTATGGAGAAAACGGGCGGATTAACACATTCACGACCGTCCGGGAACACGCGTTCCCGTACGGGAAAAAGTCCAGACGACCATCCGGGAACACCGTTCCCGGACAAATCCGATTTTCCGATTTCGCCTCACAGAATTGTCACGATCATGAGACATATTTTTTTGGAACCGCCTCAACGAAAGACGCAAGTTACTTTTTGAACGGACCTCGTACGATGAATTTGGTACGGGTACATGATTCCCGGACGGTCGTCAGAGACATGTCCAGTCCGGGAACACCGTTCCCGTACGTAAAAGCGGCCCAGCAAGCGAAATGAGGGTATTTTCGGAATCAGCGGATCGAGCCCAGGCCATTCGCACACTTTTCGACTTGGTTTGAGCTGTTACAACCAACTCGATTTTGACACGGCCCGATTCTGCTGCATGTCAAGAAGGCCGCGTGGAAATCGGGTTGGTTGTAACATCTCAAAACAGGTCGAAAAGTGTGCGAATGGCCTGAGCTCGCTCCGCTGATTCCAAAAATACCCTCATTTAGTTTGCTGGGCCGCTTTTACGTACGGGAACGGTGTTCCCGGACTGGACATGTCTCTGACGACCGTCCGGGTACACGGTTCCCGGACTCAAAAACGGCCATACAAGCTTCAAACTGAGACTTCTTGCGTTTCCTTCCTTATTTTTGAAAAATAAAATGATTTTGGTACTCATTTTGATCGGGAACCGTGTTTCCGTACTGCGTTCCCGCGTTCCCGTCGTTGGCGTCCACACGGGAACCCTGTACCCGTGAACGGGCATGGCCCTCGCGACCGTCCGGGCGCGGGGTTCCCGGAATTTTTTTTTTCGGCTGGTTGGTTTTGTTATTGCATGATTCGTGCTTATATCTAGTCGCGAGGTCTGGGAGATGCATGGTTTGGTCAAAGCAGACTCCGGTCCTGAGCGGAAGTTTGCCCAAAACGAGTCCGGTCGTGAATGTGTTAAGCCGACAACACTATTTGGCAGCGTCTCGCCTGCGATGAATGGCTTCAATCGAGGCTTCAATGCAATTATCGAAGTGGATCGACTCGATTCCGGGGCAGACCGGCTGGCCGTCCCCGAAAGGCCGAGCGGAGCACAGTGGGCCAGAAGACCGGTGGAGGCGGCCAAAACTGTGGACGCGTTTTGAGCTCCAGAGTCGCTAAATGAGACTTGAACCGAACGTGTGACCCCACCAATGGGTTGCTCCCCGAACGAGGAATCCATTGGTGGGGTCACACGTTCGGTTCGAGTCCCATTTAGCGACTCTGGAGCTCAAAACGCGTCTAGAGTTTTGGCCGCCTCCACCGGTCTTCTGGCCCACTGAGCGGAGCGACGCAGGAAGACGGCAGCTCTCCGCTACTACTCACGCTCGAAATTGAACCGGTAGGCGCTCCGCCTTGGCTGCGCCTTGGCTGCGCCTCGGATCGGGATCGGCGGCCTTTCCCACGCACGCGGCCGGCCGCGCGGTTTCCAAGGCCTGCCGCCGCGGAGCCAAGGCGGAGCCGCCAAGGACACGAGCACGCCGTCGTCCGCACGCCGCCGCCGGCCACCCCGCGACGAGGGGGTATGCGCTCTCTGAACCTGTGTACCGACTATTACGCTATTACGCTCTATTACGCCACAAATTAATCGGAATTTAGCTAAAAACGGCCTAAAACACACCAAAATTGATCAAATTTTGACAATTTCGGCTATTACGCGACTATTACGCGTATTATTACGCGTGCTATTACACATAGAGTGAACCGACTATTACGCGAGTGCATACCCCCTCGCCCCGCGAGCACGCCGACGAGGAGTACCACCGGGCCATCCCGCGGCCGCCACCGCGGCGTGGGTATGGGGCTCCGCTCTTACCCGCCCCCGCCTCGCACAGCGAGCATCCGCAGCCACCGCAACGTGCCCTAGACCCTGGCCACTGGCAACACCAGAGCACAGTAGGCCGGAGCACAGTGGGCGTATGACCGCATCAATGGACTCCTCGTTCGGAGAGCAATCCATTGGTGGGGTCACACGTTCGGTTCGAGTCCCATTCAGCGACTCTGCAGCTCAAAACGCGTCTAGAGCTTTGGCCGCCTGCGCCGGTTCTCTGGCCCACTGTGCGGAGCTTCCCGGAGCTTCCCCTAGGCAACTTGCACACGAAAGGCTAGACCACACTGAAAAACCAAACGTGGTCTAGACCGCATCATTGGTGTGGTCAAATGGATGCCATTTTGACCTCATCAGTTGGTGTGGTCTAGACCACGTTTGGCCACGTTTGGTGTGGTCTAGACCACGTTTGGCCACGTTTGGTGTGGTCTAGACCACACCAAACGCCCCAAACGTGGTCTAGACCACACCAACTGATGCGGTCAAAATGGCATCCATTTGACCACACCAGTTGGTGCGGTCTAGACCACGTTTGGTTTTTCAGTGCAGGGAATGAGCCATACGCAGCCGTTAGGAGCCAAGAAGACTCCGCTTGCCGGATTCACAGTGCTGCCACCCACGGGAAGGTTAGAGGAAAAAGCGCAGTGCGGCCAACGGGGCCAACGGGGCCAACGGGGCGATGGTGCCTTGCCGAAGCCGAACCGTTCGAAGGACGCCTCACGGAAGATGCGGAAATGGCCGCAATTTGTCCCCCGCGTTGCCGCAATCGCGGCTACTCTGTCCCCGCCTCCCCCTCCCCCTTTTTGAGGCCACTTCTGGATCCGCCACTGCACTGCGCGCACCAGGAGGCTTGGGCTGCCTGCGCGGACGCACGGCCCCGGAAGGCGAGGCTTTGCTGCGCGGCCCTCCCAGTCGCGTGCATCAGACGCATGGATGGTTTGCTTACTTTTATTTTCGATGCGCTCGGTGACCGTGAATCATATGACGGTCTGGCGGGGCGGGGCGGGGCGGGGCGGGGCGGGGTGGGGCGGGGCGGGGTGTGGCGGGGCGGGGCGGGGTGTGGCGTGTCGTTAGGGGAAGGACACGGTGACTGGCGCGTGGATTTTCCTGGAGAGTAATTCAGGATGCGGTGCCGCGGTGCTGCGGTCGGGGCTGCGCCTCCTCCGTCTTCACCGTCTCCACCGTCTCCACCGCAGGCGCGGCCGTTTGCCGGCCGACGCCCAATCACCGCCCATTCCGGACACAGTTTTCGCTTCCCTGTCTCTCTCGCACTCATGAGCGCCCCGTAAGAAGGAGAGAGAGAGAGAGAGAGACTGCAAAAATTCGAACTTTTTTATGGTTTCCATGCGCGGATGGTGAGTGTGGCGCGTGCCGCCAGTTCGGATTTTCCGCGGCCCATTAGTGCAGTGCTTTCGGCTGCTTCGTGGCGCCGGTGTGAGGCCGCGCCGCGCCGGCCTCGGTGACTCGATCGCGCTGAGCACCGGAGAGCCTTGCACCGGCGCGGCGGCAGGGCCAGTTGCAGTGGCGTGGACACGGGCGCGGACCTGCACACGCGCTGCGTTCGGCCTGGCGCCTGGAACCTGCAGCCTGGAGTCCAGTGCCTGGAGCCTGGAACCTGCAGCCTGGAGTCCAGTGCCTGGAGCCTGGAACCTGCAGCCTGGAGTCCAGTGCCTGGAGCCTGGAACCTGCAGCCTGGAGTCCAGTGCCTGGAGCCTGGAACCTGCAGCCTGGACCCTGGACTGGAGACTGGAGGGGGCAGCTGCCTGCCAGGCGCGCGCCGGACGGGGTCGCTGGTCGCACGCCGACGGCCTTGGCAGCTGCAAGGTCCCGGTCTCAAGGCCTCGCCACGCCCCACCACGCCCCGCCACGCCCCGCCACGCCCCGCCGCGCCCCGCCACGCCCCGCCGCGCCCCGCCACGCCCCACCGCGCCCCGCCTCTGACGGAGCAGTGACCCTCGCTGGTTCCCGACCAGGAAAGCCGCGAGGAAGTGTCCAAACGGTGTCACTGGCGTCGTCGTGGGCGATCGGGCCGTGCAGGTCCCTCCCACCTGGACTAACCCATGACCGCCGTCTCTGTGTTGCAGGCATTGCAGGCAGCACCATGGCCAGCCTAGTGGTGAGCCTCATAGACGGCTACCATGACCTCATGGACAACAAGGGCGGTGAGTACCGAGAAGGAGATTCATTGAACCTAAAAAAATGAAAGAACACTGCGGCCGTGTGGCGTCCGCGAAATCCGTAATTTCCTTAACGTTTGGCTTGATTGCAGACCCGCGCGTCAAGGACTGGCTCCTCATGTCGTCGCCCTTCCCCACGCTCTTCATCTGCCTCACCTACGTGTACTGCGTCAAGTCGCTGGGCCCGCGGCTCATGGCGAACCGGAAGCCCTTCGACTTGCGCAACGTCCTCATCGCCTACAACGCCTTCCAGGTCGCCTTCTCCGCCTGGCTATTTTACGAGGTAAGTTTGTGCTTTTTCTTTAGTCGAAAAGGGGAGGCCACTCCGTTGTCAGCAATCCGCGGCTAAAAAGGTCATAAACGCAAGTAAGCCGCACACACTCGGCTCTTTTCACACGATCGCGGCAAAAAGGAGCCAGAGGAACGGAGGCCGGGCCGCGCAAGGCTGTCCAGCTCACTAATAGAAGCATCTGTGGACCTCGTCAGCTTTTTTCTCCATTTCCAATCCGCTAGTGAGCCGGCGGATTCCTGGTATGCACCGCGTAAGTGCAGTGCCCGCCAATTTGTGGGCAGGCTGCGCTGCATCTGGGGCAGGCCCGGGGGGGGGGGGGGGGGTATGGCACTCACCTTGCCAGGCCCGGGCCGCGCCTCCACCGACGAGCGGCATTGGCGACGTTTAGCGTACAAAGCTTGTCCGGGGCTACCGTGTCGGCGGCGTGAGCGAAGGCGAGAGGATACACCCCGCCGCCCGGACGTCGAGCCTGTGTGCGTGCGTGTGTGTGCTGCCAAACAGAGGTGCAACGGGCGAAGAACACGCGTCACACGCCGCGTCGGGGCGAGAAAACTTCACCCAGTGGACCGGTTTGGTTTCCCCCGCGTACGCGCACATAAAAGCGACACGCCGCCGCCGCCGCTCGGGACGAAATTACAAAATTAGGGTCCGTGGCGACGCGTCCAGCGGCAGCATGCAGCAGCACCGGTGCGGCGCGCGCGTTGAGGTCGCCGGGAGCGTGGAGAGGCGCGTGCGGGAGCTGGCCAGGGGGGCCGCGGCACAGTGGGCCAGAAGGCCGGTGGAGGCGGCCAAAACTCTAGACGCGTTTTGAGCAGCAGAGTCGCTAAACAGGACTCGAAGCGAACGTGAGACCCCACCAATGGATTCCTCGTTCGGAGAGCAATCCATTGGTGGGGTCACACGTCTGGTTCGAGTCCCATTTAGCGACTGAGGAGCTCAAAACGCGTCTAGGATTTTGGCCGCCTCCACCAGTCTTCTAGCCCACTGTGCGCGGCGAGGAATAGTCGTTTTCGTCGCTCTGTCTCTCTCGCACCCGAACGGGACGCCCCATGAGTGCGACAGAGACAGAGCGACGAAAACGACTCTCGGAATCAGTCTGCAGGCAGGGTGGTTAATTGCGATGCACAGTGTAGGTCGCGGCCGGTGCATCCAGCAGACTGTGTCTCTCTCGCACCCCTGCGGCCTGCGGCGCGCCCCGTGAGTGCGAGAGAGACGGCGCGACGAGGCGACTCTTCGGAACGGGCTGCATCATGCCTATGCAAAACACGTGCCAGCGCCCCGACTGCGCCGCTGCGCCCTGGCGGGGTTGCCTGCCAATTGCAGAAACTCGCTGACAGAGTCCTGGACACCTGCGGTCCATAAGTCGGGAGATTTTCTCAATATTTTGCTATGCGTGCTCGCCGCGCGGCCGTGCGGTCGCTCTGCGTGGTGCGAATGGTCCGTTTGCCCTTCGCCACTCGTTGCTGCACGGTGGGCCAGAAGACCGGTGGAGGCGGCCAAAACTCTGGACGCGTTTTGAGCTCCAGAGTCGCTAAACGGGACTCGAACAGAACGTGTGACCCCACCAATGGATTCCTCGTACGGAGAGCAATCCATTGGTGGGGTCACACCTTCGGTTCGAGACCCATTTAGCGACTCTGCAGCTCAAAACGCGTCCAGGGTTTTGGCCGCCTCCACCGGTCCTCTGGCCCACTGTGTGCCGCCCGCTGGAAAGAAAAGACTCGATTAGCGATCGCTTTGTCGCTGTGTGCAAAACAAACCAACCGCACTCCAACTTACCGCGCCGCTATGCGGACAGTTTTTTCCCCTGCATGCAAATAGAAAACGCAACGCGGCCCGATAAATCTTATTACGAGTCAGGCCGCGGCCTGGCCAACGGAGCGGCCGCCGCCGTCTCTCTCGCACTCGCGGGGCGTCCCGCAGTCCCGTAGGGGTGCGAGGGAGACAGAGGCAGTGCGGCGAGTAGGGAATCGGTCTGCAGCTGGGCGCTCTGCCCGGCTCTGCCCCTATTCCCGCGACGCCCCGACGGGCCAGCATTAGATATGATTCCGTCGGTGCCTCTCTCGCACCCCAGCGGGCCGGCCCGCGAGTGCGAGAGAGATGGCGAGCCGCCCCGCTCGACATCACGCAGTGCGGCTTATTGCCGTGCTGATTGCGCGTTGCGCGGCAGACGCCCCGTGCGACGCCGTGGCGACGCCGTGGCGACGGCCAGGGCAAAGGTCGGCCGGGTCGGCGGGGCACAGTGGGCCAGAAGACCAGTGGAGGCGGCCAAAACTCTAGACGTGTTTTGAGCTCCAGAGTCGCTAAAAAGGACTCGAACCGAGGGTGTGACCCCACCAATGGATTGCTCTCCGAACGAGGAATCCATTGGTGGGGTCACACGTTCGGTTCGAGGCCCAGTTAGCGACTCTGGAGCTCAAAACGCGTCTAGAGTTTTGGCCGCCTCCACCGGTCTCCTGGCCCACTGTGCGGGGCGTCAAAAAGACGCGGAAAACGATGGAACGGCACGACGCGTCGGCGGGGCGTGGGGACGAGGTGGCATTCAGCCTCCAGCGCGCTCCAGCTCTCCAGCACAAGCTCGAGCACGTGGCGCCGCGTCCAAAGGTCCCACGACGCAGCGCAGCGCCCCCGCGACGCGCGCCGCCACGGGGCACGGCGGGCACGGTGTGACGCCGCCGCCATCTGGCACGGCGCTCTCACGCGCGGCGTGCCGCACCAAGCGCCGCAATTTGGACGCAATTTAGGAGGCGGTGACCAGCTCGCCTTTCGGCTGTTTACCCCAGTGTGCCGCCCCGCCGCCGGCCGGGGTAGCGCCGTCAGGCCAGTTGCGCGGACCATACTCTGACGCATTTTCAGCCTCGTTTCGAGCTGCAGCGTCCTTGGCGGCGCCCGAATCAGTCACATGATGGCTCGCCCTTCGAGCGAGGAGCCTATTGCCGCCATCGTGTGTTTGATTCGAGCCCAATTTAGTGACGTGGGTTCAGAACGTGTCTGGAGTTGTGCCCTGGCCGGCTAGACGGGACGCTTTCGGGAGCCGTCTCGGCGCCGTCTTGACGAGCAGGCTTGGGCTGGCCCCGCCTAAGGCATGCCGCCTGGCTCCTGGCTGCGCCCGCTGCGCCTTGGCCTCCACCGCGGTGGGCCGCGGCCAGTGGCAGACCAGTGGCAGGCCAGTGGCAGGCCAGTGGCAGGCCAGTGGCAGGCCAGTGGCAGGCCAGTGGCAGGCCAGTGGCAGGCCAGTGGCAGGCCAGTGGCAGGCCAGTGGCAGACCAGTGGCAGACCAGTGGCAGGCCAGTGGCAGGCCAGTGGCAGACCAGTGGCAGGCCAGTGCAGCCAGTGGCAGGCCAGTGGCAGGCCAGTGGCAGGCCAGTGGCAGGCCAGTGGCAGGCCAGTGCAGGCCAGTGGCAGGCCAGTGGCAGGCCAGTGGCAGGCCAGTGGCAGGCCAGTGGCAGGCCAGTGGCAGGCCAGTGGCAGGCCAGTGGCAGGCCAGTGGCAGGCCAGTGGCAGGCCAGTGGCAGGCCAGTGGCAGGCCAGTGGCAGGCCAGTGGCAGGCCAGTGGCAGGCCAGTGGCAGACCAGTGGCAGACCAGTGGCAGGCCAGTGGCAGGCCAGTGGCAGGCCAGTGGCAGGCCAGTGGCAGGCCAGTGGCAGGCCAGTGGCAGACCAGTGGCAGGCCAGTGGCAGACCAGTGGCAGGCCAGTGGCAGGCCAGTGGCAGGCCAGTGGCAGGCCAGTGGCCAGCCTCGCACCTGCAGACCTGCAGCTCCCAGTGGTCCAACCCCGCGTCCCGTGTCGCAATGCCAGCTGGCAGCAGTATTCAGATCTTTCTCCTTTCGCTGCCCCCGTGCCTCCACTGCCTCCAGTGCCACCAGTGCACCAGAGCGGGCAGCCTGGAGCCCTCCGCCGCGTCGCGGGCCTGCCTGCTCGCCGGGCGCAGCGCTCCGGCAGCAGCCAGCATCAGACACGATTTACGACCAAAAAAAGAACGTTTCACGTCTGGCTGCCGCGTCGGTACTGTAGACTGATTCCGAAAAACGCCCCGTCGCCCTGTCTCCCGTGTACCCTCTCGGCAGTGCGAGAGAGACGGAGCGCGACGAAAGTTCGGACTCAACCTTCGGGCGCGGCGACCGCGTGCTGCGCCGCTGTGGCAAGAACGGCAAGAACACAAAAAAGAGAGGAGAACTTGTTGCAGTTATGAGGGACTGAGGGACAAGACCAGCGAGACAAGCTCATCGGAAATGTTTTCGCAGCTCCCCGCCCCGCGCCGGGGCTTTCGACATCGCTTCCTGGGTGCACTTGCTTGCTGGCAGTGCAGGTACAGGCAGCATAGGCAGTGCAGGCCTCGCGGGCGCCGAACCGCCTTCGTGCGGACGAGCAGACAAGCAGACGAGCTGCACGACAAGGTCCTGTCGGTCCAGCGCGCTGCAGCGTGGCGTGAGGCGTGGCGGGGCGTGGTGGCGGGGCGTGGCGTGGCGGGGCGTGGCGGGGCGTGGCGTGGCGGGGCGTGGCGTGGCGGGCGTGGCGGGCGGGGCGTGGCGTGGCGGGGCGTGGCGTGGCGGGGCGTGGCGTGGCGGGGCGGGGGTGGCGGGGCGTGGCGTGGCGGGCGTGGCGTGGCGGGGCGTGGCGTGGCGGGGCGTGGCGTGGCGGGCGGGGTGGCGTGGCGGGGCGTGGCGTGGGGGGCGTGGCGTGGCGGGGCGGGGCGGGGCGTGGCGTGGCGTGGCGTGGCGGTCACTGCGCACCCAGTGCTGCACGCTGCACGGCCACCACTCGTTGCGCCTTGCGCCACACGCACTGCTTGCTCGCGAAGCGACTTGACCAGATCGACCCTGGAAAAATAAAAAAAAAATGAAACTGGCCGACGAAAGGCGTTGGCGCGTCTGCGTCCACGTGACCGCCGGCTACCGTAACGCGACTGGCCGCCACTGTATACACACACGTGCAAGCCGTTGGGCCCCGAGTGAAAGTGACGAGTTGCATGAGGCTGGGCGGGCTGCGCGGGCTGGGCGGGCTTCCCCCGTTGTCGTTAGCAAGCTTGACGACACGAATTAGCTGTCTCGCACCTCCGCCGCCTGTATGTCTGACTGTCGGCGTGTGAGTTTGCCTGTCAGCGTGTCTGGCAGTCGGACTGTCTGCCGCCCGGAGCGCCTGCCCTTTCATCCGTTGCTTTGGCGCGGTGGCGGCGGTGGTCGGTTGCTCGTCGTCCGATTCGGCGAGTTCATGAGCGAGCCACCACATGCCACATATTCACCTGCGCACACACAGGCAAGCCGCGGGGTTGACCAATAAGCCGACCGGGCGAGCGGGGTGGCCAAACGCGTGGGCCGTTACGTGGCGGCGTAGACGGACGGCGTAGACGTAGACCAGGGCGGCGGGGCGGGGCGCGGCGGCGGGGCGGGGCGCGGCGGGGCGGCGGGGCGCGGCGGGGCGGCGGGGCGCGGCGGGCCGTGGCACCCCTTTCTTTCTTGTCTAGGCGGTGCTTCGGCGTTTCGGCGCGGCTCCGGCTCGACTTTCTAAAAATAAATTCCGGAGCATAAAATCCGATACGTAAGACGTAACCCGACGAACCCCCCTTTCACCCGTACCCGGTTTGTGTTGCAGGCCTGCGCCGGCGGCTGGCTCGCCGGGTACAGCCTGCGGTGCGAGCCCGTGGACTACTCCACCACCCCCAAGGCCATGCGAGTGACGGCCGGCTGCTGGTGGTACTACATCTCCAAGTTCACCGAGTTCTTCGACACGGTGAGTCACTGGGCTTTGGCAACCGGACTAGCTCCGCGGCCTGGGCAGCCTAGCACCCCGAGCAACACGCCACCCGTGGCACACGTCCTGACGCGACTCTCCTGCCGCAGATCTTCTTCGTGCTCCGGAAGAAGGACAAGCACATCTCCAAGCTGCACGTCATCCACCACGGCATCATGCCCATGAGCGTCTGGTTCGGCGTCAAGTTCTTCGCTGGTACGTTTCTGTTCCTCCACGCCAAAAAGGGAAAAGCAACGAAAGGCCGAATAGAAGCCGTAACGCATTGCGATTCCCATTTGCAGGCGGCCACGGCACCTTCTTCGGGCTGCTCAACACGTTCGTGCACATCGTCATGTACTCGTACTACCTGCTGGCGGCCCTCGGCCCCCAGGTGCAGAAGTACCTCTGGTGGAAGCGGTACATCACCGTGCTGCAGATGGTGAGCCCCGGCGCAGCAGCGCAGCTGCACTGTAAAGCTTCGGGCCGTTTTTCCCTTTTTCTCACCCGGCGCGTCTCACTCCGCAGGTCCAGTTCGTGCTCGTCATGATCCACTCCTTCCAGCTTCTGTTCATCGAGTGCGACTACCCCAAGGCGTTCTGTGGCTGGATCGGCATGCACGCCGTCATGTTCTACTTCCTCTTCTCCGACTACTACAAGCAGGAGTACCTCAAGAAGGAGGCGCGACGAAAGGTGGGTCACGGTCCCGGCCGGAACCGGATAGCTTAATCGCCGCCGGTTTGGCGTTGATGTCGATTTCGCGCCGATTTGAAGTCGGAATGGCGGCGCACAGTGGGCCAGAAGACCGGTGGAGGCGGCCGAAACTCTGGACGCGTTTTGAGCTCCAGAGTCGCTAAACGGGACTTGAACCGACTGTGTGATCCCACCAATGGATTGCTCTTCGAACGAGGATCCCATTGGTGGGATCACACGCTCTATTCAAGTCCCGTTTAGCGACTCTGGAGCTGAAAACGCGTCCAGAATTTTGGCCGTCTGCGCCGGTCTTCTGGCCAACTGTGCGCTAGTCTCTGGGGATGGGCCGTGAGTCTACCTCTCGGCCTGTCGGCCATCATCGGCGCCCTCTCTGGCCGCCTCTGGCCCGGTCGGTGCGCCGATGTGCCAATCCAGACAGTGGATTCGACAAAAAGGCGTGAACCCCGCGGCGACAGCGACGGCGACCTCGGCGGCACGGCGGGGCTGTGGAGGTGTGAGCAGCATGGCCTCGGTGGTCTTGCCCGCGTTTTCGGCGGTCCGGCCCGTTGGCCCGTCATCGCTCGGCGTGGCATTGGGCATTGGCGGAGCGAGGGGCATTGGGGGGGCATTGGGGCATTGGCACACGCTGACCTAGTCCAGTTAGCGACGCGCCGCGTGGACGTGGACGCCGAGCTGCGCCGAGCTGCGCCGAGCGTGGACGTGGATGAGTGGCTAATTGGGCCCGAACCGACCCTGCTCTCGTCGCTCTGTCTCTCTCGCACTCCCGGGGCGGCCCGTGGGGCCGAGAGAGACAGAACGCTCGAAACACTTCGCGCAGCAGCGCGGCGCCTTACGGGTCGCACCCTGCCGCCCTGCAACGCCGCCGCCGCCGTGAGGGTCGAGTAGCAGCTCGATACTCGATCCGCTGGAAAGATAGTGCGAAATAAAAATTATGGCCGCCGGATTCGAACCCCCCTCCCTTTCACCTGGAGGCGTATGGGCCAGTCGCCAGCTAGACGGCGGTGAGGCGGGGCCGGGCGGGGCGGGGCGGGGCGCGGCGCGGTGGGCGGAGTGCGGCCGGCCGGGTTAGTTCGCATGTGAGCGGCGCGGCGCGCTCTGCTATGCGAACCAAGGGCGCCTCCACCGCCCCCCTCCCCTATTAACTAACCGCCGTTTGCCATCAAAACGGAGTTGAAAAAACGAAACATGAGTGTGTTTCACTTTCTTGTTTTCGCCTTCGCCTTCCCCGCGGCGGCTGCGGCGGCTGCGAATGGCAGTGGCGTGGAAGGATAGAGGACAACGTGGGGAAAAGAACCGAAAGCCGAGTCGGTTTGCTGGAATAAGGCGTGGCTTTCCCTTGCGAACGCCGCAAATGCGCACCTCGCTGCATAGATTAACGCTGTTTGTGCAACCTGTCCGCAGGCCGTCAACGACAAGAAGGCCGAGGACGAGGCCCTGAAGGCCGCCGCCGAGGCCCAGCTCTCGGACGGCGCCACGGGCAACGGGCTCTACCAGGACCCCGGCAAGCTGATGCAGGCCTCGTACGTGGACCCCAACGCCCCGGACAACGCGCTGCGGCAGCGGGCCTTCGTCACCTCGCGCTGAGGGCCTGCCGGCACTGCCAGCACTGCTGCAGCACTGCCAGCACGCAGTATGAGAAGTTCGTCCCGTGCTGCGGGTGAACCCCGCCCCGCCCCGCACGCCCCGCCCGCGCGGCGTGCGCCTGCGGTTCAAGCTGTGATCGCTCACTCGGTGGCGGCGCACTGTGACCTGGTGCAAACGAGACAGTGACGGGGACAGAATGTGTGTGTGTGAGTGAGAGGCCGAGTGAATGTGTGAGTGAGTGAGTGCCAAGGAGCCCCGTCGTTACACTGCCGCTGTCCTGCGGTTCCTGCGGGTCCTGCGCCGCCCGCCCGACGCGCCCATTATTGTTAGTGTATTGTTATGTATTGTAATGTATTGTCATAATCCCTGAGGACCTGGCGTCCTGCCCGCAGTGAGTCTGCGCTTTAAGACTTTAGTGTAATACGCATCGCTCAACAAGCACCCCATGATCGTAGTCTATATTGTCATTGTCATACCTTCGGCGTGCAAGAGCCGTCATCACCCATTGCCCGACGCCCTGCCGCCCTGCCGCCCTGCCCCAAGCAGCCCCAGACTTCCAGTTTTGTGAAAAGGAAGACAACCGACTAAAATTGAGACTACTGACGTCGAATCGACTTGGAGTTGACCTGTACTGGCCCCTAAATTCGACTTGTTTTTGGCCTTCATCGTCGAATTGAAGTCGGTTGGACACATCGGTTTTCACTTCGGAAACGAGGCAACCGTGACGATTTTCTAGTCCGGGAGCAGTTGATTCCTGCATTGAATTCTCATTCTGGGTGTGCAGCCATTTCATGTGACTCAGTATTCACAAGTCGCAAATGATTGCCTATATTTCCTTAAAGGCCATGATCCTGAACGTCGCAATAAGAGCGCCTGCCAAAACGGTTGTGTATACGTATGTCGCTCCTACGCGACCTCAACGCTTCCATCGAGTTTATTCTTTTGTATCCATCAAGCTGTACTTAATTAATTTATTTTTACTTGCGTATTTTAACTTAGGTTTTCCTTTTTTGAGGTAGGTGAAGATAGAAGTGGAAGTTGTCAAGGAGAGAAATTGCCAACGGTAATAGCTAATGCTGTGATTTCTCTGCCAGTAGATGTGTCCTGTCGATCTTTCAAAAAAATGCATAAGATTTATGGTGGCATTTTCACAAAATATGCTCACCATTTTAACTTGTTATTAAACAACTGTAATTTGTTAGGAAAGAGAAATGTACAATAAATAAGCTTATGTCTGAGTATGTTTTTTCATTCAATCCACACACATTCATCACAATACTAAAATGTATACACAAGTCGAGATCCTTCTCTGATCACAAAACAACATAACAGTCTCGAATTTGGAGCTGACATGTCCTGGAAATCCGACAAGACGACACTCTTGTAAGTTCGTAAACGAGGATGTTTCGTGAAAGAACTGCGCAAGCGTTTAAAATATGCGCGTGCAACATAAACTTTGTTCGGTTTGCATACCAACACCGCGAAATAAAGGGGTAGACCATTCATTCACATTTGAAGTCAGCTATTTTCAAAATTATCGAGGTAATTGTCAAGTACAACAAAAGCACTGTTCAGGCATCTTTTTTTGTTTCGAAAGAGCACGTTTATTAACAATTTTTACAACACATTTTAGTAGATAAGTTGGTGCGATTTAGCACAGCTTAAAATGAGAAACTTAGGCGCACAACATCCGAATTTCCCATACCAGCTGTCATCTGCCAGCAGGCTGCCTTTTTTTCTGACGTTCATTCATGTTCTTTCATTGAGTCGCTTTTGCGCGAATAATTTTGAATTGACACCCTAATTTTACTCGAGTTTTAGACATAACGTCAATATGCGTTGGTTTCAAGGCAACATTGTCGAGGCTGTGACTCAATCGAAAGCTCGGAACGCAGTGTTTGTTGTTTTTATTGAAGGTTAGTAGAAGCATCAGAGTTGTGTTTTGCAGTTAGGTTTTAGTAAAAGTTGGGGCTGATAATTCTTGCAGATTCTTTGTTTGATAATCACTTGGTTTACAGAGATGCCTGTTTTTCCGTTTATATCCAGCCGTTCTTTATGCCTCCATCTCCATTAATTGTTCATTAGTGTCAAGTCATTGTCAAGATTATCTGATACCTCACGCTTCATCAACTGAGTTTCCTGGCTGGGTGTTATATTTTATTTTGTGTTTGCAGGGAAAGATGACAGATCACAGAAGATAGCGTCTGCAATTGATGATGCTGATGTGTCATCAAAGTTGGAGGGAGATAATTTTGTCTCCATTCGCCTTGAGAGTGGAACGGAAACATTTACCCAATTTTCTCAAATTTGTATCCTTTTACTACTTACAAGTGTGGTTTTCTCTAATGTTTTGTATAATCACCTCTTCGTTCACAATATATAAGTAATTAATATGCTATTCTTTTACATTTCTTTTTAAGAAATAACTGTTTCCTTTATTTTTGTAAAATGTCATCCTTGACTTAAAATTTTAAGATCGTAACCCTTCTATACCATCGCTTTACTTCATTGGTCGTAATGGATCTCCCATCAAGATTGTGACAGATGCTGATGATTCTAAAATTCTTCTTAAACAAATTGTTCACGTCGAAAATGTTCATTTTGGGAAATCTAATTCTAAAGAAGCACCGTCTACCCAGTCAGCAGCAGCGAAAGCTTCTTCTTGTAAGTAATTGTGTGAGAAGTTAACAATTTTACTTAGAAAATTTTTAAAATATTATTACTATTTTTATATTTTCTTGTAGCTAAACCATCAGAAACAGCCACAGAAGCAGCCAAACCATCAGAAACAGCCACAGAAGAACCTGCTTCTCAACCTGGAGCATCTTCAGTTCCTTTAGATGAACGTGTTGAGCGTGCTAAGGAATTGTTGGAGGAAAAGCGTTTGAAGAAACAAGCTGAGGAAGAAGAAGAAGCAAGACAAAAGGAGATGAGACGTCGCAAAGAGGGGCAAAACATCCAAGAAATGCGGAGGTTGCAGCAGGAGCAGGAGTTGAAGCAACTCAAAGAGGAGAGGATGAGAGACAAACAACTCGAACAGGCGGCAAGGCAGCGAGTTTTGGAGCAGATTGCTCAAGACAGGTAATACATTTGAATTTGTCTTAAATTTGTGCCAGTGCTTAACTTTTCTTTCTTTGTTTATTGATCTTTTTTCTTTTTGGTAAATTGTAGAGCTGCCCGAAATGCAAGAAATGTTCCATCCGCCCCTTCACCTGCTGTCAGTGGGCCTGCTACAGCACCAACACCTATTCTCACTAATAGTAATCAAGCGCGCCTTCAGTTTAGGCTTCCGGATGGATCAACTCATTCTCATACTTTTGAAGCTATGTCTACTCTTGGTGATGTCCGGCAGTACATAGTATCAAATATAACTCTTCCTTATCAGTAAGTTATCAAGTTTCACCGTACTTTAAATGCTTCTGCAAAAAAACTATCAGCTAAAGGTCTTCACTGTATTTTTGCTGTTCAGGAACTTTTCATTGGCCACCGCTTTTCCACGCCATGAGTTTTCCTCTCAAGACAACTCTTCAACTCTTCGTGACCTCCAATTGGTTCCATCATCCCTTGTACTTATTGTACCAGTAAGTTCTCCTTATCTTTGTGTTTGTTCTTGTTGGTTTGCTCAATGAGTATTCAGTCCTCTTGTGAGAATGAGAATAATGAATGTGTTAGTTCATGCAACATTTGTAACACTAATTCCATTATTATAAACTGGCCTTTTTCACCTCCTTTTATAGTGAGTGTGTGTGTGTGTTTGTGTGTGTGTCTGTATGTATATGTGTATGTATGAATGAGTGAGAGTGTATGAATACTTTCATGTCATGCACAGTTAGTGTCATTCATTGCCCCATTCAAGTCTTATGTGAGATGTCAGTTCACTTGTTTTTTAAATGTTTTTTATTCTTTCCATTTTTTAAATAATTTTGCAGTTTTGTTCTTATAAGCAGCCTTTTTACCCCTTTTATGTGTTGTGTGTGTGTGTGTGTATGTGCATCTAAGAATACTTTCTTTAGTTATAGTAAGTGATGTTCATTGCCTTTAAAAAGTATTCTGTGAGAAGGTAATTCACTTTCAAATCATATTTTTTTTAAAAATTAGGTATTAATTTTAATGACATTTGTTGTAATAAACATGCTTTTTTTTCTTTCTTTTTTTATGCTGTTTGTGCGTAGTTTGTGTGATGTAGTTAGTGTCTCCCATTGCTCATAAAGTGTTTACTCCAATTACTCCTTGTCACTCGCCGTCTGGCGTGGCATGCCCCAACTGGAGTGCCTGAAGCCGTAATCGCTTCGCCCGCTGTTCGCTTGACCGAGCAGCGTGTTTGGCTCGTCACCTTCACTGCTGAAGTCTGTCAGAGACCCCAAACTACGAGCATGTGGATAGAACAGGATGTCATGTCAATGGATGGATTACCCCATGTCTCTGCCTTTGGCCTATTGTCTAATTCATTGTGCATTCCCTTTTTTCCAGGCTGGTGGTAATTCTGGTTCTCTTCAAAATAGCCCAGGCTTGTTTGGCTTTGCTCAAACCATGTTCCTGTTCATGACGTACCCCTTGACTCGGCTCTTTTCATTTATTCGAGTCTTCATCTTTGGTGCCCCCCCTCCTGCACCAGGCTCAAACTCTGGTGCTGCGGCTGGACCAGCCCCTGCTCAAAACCAAGCCAACAACCAGCAAGACAGGAGGTGAGCCTGCTTTTCGGTGCCACTCTCAATATCAATATGGTTTATAAATTTCTAATTTGGTATCTTTTCTCCAAACTTTGTCAGACCTCAAAGGAGAAGTGGAGGGGCGTACAGGCGAGCGGGGAACAGTAATGTACACCGTCTTCATCAAAGCAATTCTTCCTCTGATGACGAAAATAATACGTGGAATGGAAATTCAACTCAACAAATGTGAAGCATTAACTTTTCTGTGCACATAATTTTTTTTTTCAGTCTAAAATTGTAAAAATGTTTTTATGAGGCAGTATGAATTTGTTTCCATCATTTTGATTTGTTCATTTTTAATTGAATTCTTAAGACAGATTGAATGTTTTTTAGCTTATAACATGACCTTTTGAGACTGCATTGAGTATGCTTATCACCTTTGAACTGGCTGCATGTGCCTGGTATATACTTCATAAAGATTGTCAAGAAAGTGCCTTTTGTTATAAGAAGTTGGTTATGTTGTGTTTTGCTAGTTGTGATTTTTGTACAGATACTATAAATATTTGTATAGATGAGTTGTTGAATTTAACTAAGAGCACTAACATTATTATATGAATCCATTTTGAAACCATACTTTAGTAGAAGCTACATCTTCCTTTAAGTTGTTTGAAATGCCTTGGGTAGAATAATCTTGTCATTTATGTATTCTGAATACCTTGGTTTCTCTTATTTGTTGTATGTTTTTGGAATAATTTGGAAACATGCTTTGAAGTGGAGTAGACATACAGTTTTTCCTAATGTTTTCCATTGTACTGAGCTGAGGCACACATTTCTGTAAGCCGGAGTTGCTTGAAACAAATATATTACATTAGTGGGTTTCCCTCTTATGTATTGTACCATATTATAATAAAACAAGTTCCGGTAGCTGTGTATTCTAGTAAATATCCAACCTATTTCCCTTTGCATAAATAACAGGTGTGAACACAATCAATTCACAATATCTGTTACTTGCTCCAAAAATGGGATTTCCCCTGCTAGTGGTGGGGGGGGGGGGAGGCCTTCGAAAACACAACGAAACACTGGGAGTCGAACGCCGCCGCAGTCGCGGTCCCCCAGAAACCAAAAATTAGCCCCGGTCACAGTAGCCTATGCAATGAACAGAGTGCAGCAGAAGAGTGAATACAGTGCCGTCGTCAACGCAAAAGATGCAACAAAAACAGGACAGCGCGGCCTGTACTCGGTGCCATAGGGAAATGGGCAAGAGAAAGGCCTCCGTTGCCGAGTCCCTGCGTCCCCGCCAGGGCCCTTCCAGCCCCTTCGAGTCCTCCCAGCCCTTCCAATGCACCGTCTCCTTCGCGTCCGATACAGCCTCGCCTCGCCGGCGAGAAAAAAATCCGGCCGAACCGGATGCGTTCCCGCACGCTCTCCGAGTAAGTTGTCTTCCCGCTCCCGGGCGGAGGGCGGGGGGGGGGGGTGGGGGAGGGGGTTGCTCTCGGGGGTCGGGGGTGGCGGCTACGCGGGGGTGGGGGCGGGCCGGCGCAGCAGCGCGCAGCAGCCGGAGCCAGGGCCCGGCGGGGTGGATGGGCGACGGGCCGGGCCACCCCAGCCCAGCGACGCCCCGCCACTCCGCCGCTGCCGAGCTCCCGGGGAGGCGACCCGCTCCGCGCCGCTCCGCGCTCAGTCCTTCCCTTCCCTCGGACGCATGGCGCTGCGCTAGCGCCACGCAGCGCCACGCTCGCGGCCAGCGCGACGCCCTGCCGGCGCCCTCGGCCTCGGCCAGCCTCCGCCGCCAACGCGACCCGCCAGCGCCGTGCCGACAACATCGCGACACCGCGCCGCCGCAAGTCAAGTCACCGACGGGCCCGTGCCTCCAGCGCAGTGCCGCCCTGCCTCCGAACACCGGATATCACGGCGATTCCCTCCGCGTGTGCGTGTGTGTGTGTGTGCGCGCGAGACTGTGTGTGTGTTGGAGGACGCAGTGCGCGCCGCGGTGCCCGCCTGGCATGACCGGCCCCCTCTCGGTGAGTTGGAGCGCCAGGCCGTCGGCCGCGCTCAGATATTCATGGACCTAATTAACGACCTGCCAATTTAAGAACTGATGGACTGATTAATCTATTTCCTGCCGAGAAGCGGGGAGGAGAGGAGGGGCAATCTCGTCAGGGCCGCTAAATTGCGGCCGCGCTGGGCGGAGCGCGGAGCGCCGGGAGGGCAGGCCGGGGCAGGCCTCCCGCAGGCACGGGTGTCCGCTGGTTGCCTGCCGCCACGGCGTTCCCCGACTCGGGTGCATCGAGCGCCTATAGCATACGGTCATGTGTGGTCTAGCCCTTAATGGTAATGGCTGGGTAGGCAACGCGGCTGCACGGCTGTGCGTTGGTTGTCTACCGCCACGGCGTTTCCCGACTCGGGTGCAGCGAGCGCCTGCCGGGTAGGCAACACGGGTGCACGGCTGTGCGTTGGTTGCCTGCCGCCACGGCGCTCCGGCGCTCCGCTCCCGTCCGCTCCAGTCCGCTTCCGGCTGCGTCGTTGTTGTATCAAGTCACGGCTCGCCCTTCCGTTTCTTGTGTTTTGCTGCGACGGCAGGGTGACGTCACGCTTCGTGTTTTTCTTTGGCGAGCACACAGAGCCACCCCGCGCCACCCCGCCACGTCGTCAGCAGTCAGCGCACGCCCGGCGCCCGGGCCGCCTCCGCCTCCGCCCTGATTGTCATCTCGGCTTCTTGTGTGGTTTGCAGGTGCGGCGCAACCGGCAGGGGCACGGCCGGCAGGGCCGGCAGGGCAGGCAGGGCCCCGCCTGATGTGACCACCCGGCCAGCAGCTCGTCTCCCCCCGCCACCCCACCAGCCCGCCGGCCCGCCTGGCCCACCCGCGATGCCGGGCCGAGAGAGGTAGCGGACGTCGCGGCATGCGGCGCCTCCAGCACGCCGCGGTGGTGGTGTCCCTGGTGACCCTGGCTTCGGCCCTGCCCGCGGCCCTGCCCGCGGCCACAACGAGGGCCCCGCCGACGGCCCTGCCCACCATGGCCGCCATCCTGCGCGCCAACGCGTCGGCCGTGGCGGCCAACAGCACGGCGCCGCCCTTCGCCATCCCCGTGCCCACCGTCCTCGTCGCCGCCAACAACACCAACAACACCCTGGCCGCGGACGACGAGTTCAGCGACGACCTGGGTAGGTGCATTCATCCCAAGCATGGAACGAAGACGCCCGTCGGATGAACACAATTTTTGTCGCTCTTTCATGGAGGAGTACAGTACAGTGCACCCACATTGGCGCGGGTCACGACGGGTCGTGTGGGCAATGGCGTCTACCCTCGAAGGAAACGTTCCCCGTTCAATTTGGAGCTCACCTTTCGTGACTTTGTCTCCCCGCTTCGAAGGGGAATTACCGCATCCAGCTGGAGAGGGGGGAGCTAACTAAACGATACCTCCAGACTCCAGGGGTTCGTCCCCGCCCAGCAGAGGGAGAGAGAGCTAACAACGATACCTCCAGGGGTTATTACCCGCCCAGCAGAGGGCGCTCCAACAACACTGCACTACTGCGCTTACAGTTTAGTCGGCGGCAGAGTTAAGCCGCGTTAGTTTCACATCAGGGAGCGGCGCGCGTGCCAGATGCTGTCGTTGCCACATTTTTGGTGGCGCCGCCGGGCCGCCGGCAGGCCGGGGCTGGGGGCGGGACTGGGGGCGGGGCTGGGGCGGGCTGGGGGCGGGGCTGGGGGGGACTGGGGCGGGACTGGGGGCGGGGCTGGGGGCGGGACTGGGGGCGGGGTTGAGGGCGGGGCTGGGGGCGGGGGCACTGTGGCGCCGAGCTGCTGGGTCCCGGGCCCCGCTCTGTGGGCAGAGAGTCAATTCCATCGTCGGCCGGGAGCCTCAGTGGCGGCGGCGGCCTCGACGGCGAGGGGAGGCAGGGGAAGGCTTTCTTGTCGCTAAACTCCCCGTTAGGGGCACCCTCCCCGCCCTGCCCCGCCCTGCCCGCGTGGCCGCGACATGAGTGTGCCTCGCCGGTAGGTGCGCCGGCCTCAAGCCTCGCCGGGCCTCGCGAGCTCTAATGTAATTTGAGCCCACTTCGCCGCCACTTGACTCCACCCGCACTCCACTCCACTCCGGCCGCGTGGTTTCGCACGCGTTATTAATCCGGCGGTCCTGCCTCCTGATTCGCGGCAAAGGCGACGTTTCACTCCAGCAAGGGTGGTGCCGACCGATCGTCGCTCTGTCTCTTTCCCACTCATGGGGCGCACTCCCTTGGCGGTGCGAGAGAGAGAGAGAGAGAGAGAGAGAGAGAGAGAGAGAGAGAGAGAGAGAGACGGCGATGACGCGCTGCTCGGAATCGCTCTGCAGCAGCACTGCCCCGCGTCCCGCCCGGACGCTATAGTGCTCCTGTACAGCTGGCAATATTGTCAGCACCAATTCGCGGTTAAAAAAAAAACACTGGTCAAACAAAGCGGAAAGTAGGAATACTCTGCCCCAGGGGAAATTTGCCCCCTCACGCTGTGGAGTGCATTGTTGTCCTCTGCAGTCCATCCGCAGCGATCCATACAGCCGCATAGTTAAATTTATGCAAAGTCAAAATAGCACTTTTCAAAGACTACCAGGCAATCCCGACAGAGCCGGACAGAGCTACACGCGCCAAGTCACTCGACTCGACGACTGTCGGGGCGGCTCGAGTGTGTAATGCCCGTCGTACGTGCGCACTCACACATGCATGCAAACGCACCAACTCGCACGCACACTCACACACACACACACACACACATACACACGCGCGCGCACACGCACACGCACACACACACACACACACACGGAGATGTCGCCAACTTGCGTGACGCGCCAACTTGGCCGCGTCGCCACCAAGTCACACCCTGTCGCCGTGCGGCGTGCGGTCGCCGCGCTCGGTCACCCGGAGGAAAAGGGGGGGGGGGTATTTTGGGGGTGGAGGTGGGGGAAGAAAAGCAATTAACGAACCACGGCGCACGACTTGGGTTCGGTCCAGGACAAATAGTTCCTCTGCTCCTTCCCCAGCCAGGTCTCACGTGCAATAACTTGACATTTATTGAGATTTCGGGTGCTCTTATCTCCTTAACGGTTTGAGTTATAAAAAAAAGTTTTTGCTAAGAAAAGATTTAAAAGTGAATTTCAAATTAACTTATTTTCAAAAATATTTTTAAGGAGCCGGGAAGAGACACTTTCCGAAATGACTGCTTGTTTTAGATTCAGGTGGTATTCAACACACAGGTGCACATTGTGCCCTAAAACCTTCCTTCCTGAAGTCTTGGGTTTTGGTGGAATGCGTCAT